TATGAAGAAGATGGAAAACCAGGAGCTTTATTTAGCAAAACCCTCTTTTCAGTAAGATAACGACGATTATGACGTTGGTAATGTCGCAGAATTGATAAATACGAGCTAAAATGACGTAGATACACACAAAATTGATAATAGTAATGCACAAAATAAAATTGAAGGAAAACAAAAAAGTTTAAAAATAGCTTAGAATTTGCCAATAACTACTAAAGTAATAAACTAAAGTATCGTAATTAATGAATATTATGTAGTAAGTACTTAGGTAGGTAAATCTAGTTCCAGATTATATGAACAAAAATAAAAATAAACACAAAAAAGTTTATAAATAATTTAAAATGCTATCATCCTAAGCAAGTAACCAAATAACATTCAATTAGTAGGTAAATGGTTCCAGGAATTTTCGAACTAGATCTGATTAAAAATATCCATTACAATCCAATTAACTTTCAGCTTACGTTTCAATTGAGTACGTCTACTAAGAAGAGTTATTTTTGAATTTAGGGGAATGTCACGTTCGTACAAAAGATTTTTATCAAGAAAATTTTGTCGGCCATTTCTAAGAAACCAATGAGCAACTCTGTAATGTTTCACACATCTTGTATCACGGCTTTTAAGTCTGATGAATGAATGAATGGACACGTAATCATTAAAATTAATAGTAGGTATCTACAGTTTTATCATTATTATGTTCCTTCCTAACATGAGATAAAAAATATACTTAAAGCTATTTTAGGAACACTAATTAATGACGATGATGGGCATGTATTTATTAAAGATAATGATTGTAATTAATTTGCAATAGCATAACTATATGATAATAAAGACGAGAGAACTGATTGAATTACTTTTAATAATCTTCGACTTAAAGGGTCAATTTCAATATGACAAGACATCATCATTTCAGTCATAAGACGTCAACTGCTGAACATAGGTCTCCCCCAATGATTTCCATAATGACCGACTGGTAGCGGCCTGCATCCAGCGCCTTCCTGCTACCTTTATGATGAGGTCGTTGGTCCACCTTGTGGGTGGACGTATTACACTGCGCTTTACGGTACGTGGCCTCCACTCCAGAACTTTCTGCCCCATCGGCCGTCAGTTTTGTGTACTATGTGCCCTGTTCATTGCCGCTTCAGCTTGCTAATCCGTCGGGCTATGTCAGCGACTTAAGCCTGTAACAAGACAACTCAATTCAATATAATACTTGTAATAATTACAAACCAAGAAGTATGAAACAAACCTGTGTTAGTTCACAATATTAGCGTAAATGTCTTACTTATAGTGTTAATCAGATAGCAATAGAGTTGCGCAATTTGTTTGTGCCGACATCAGTTAGCGTAAAACAATGAAGTATGGGAAAATACTCGGCTTTCTTAACCACTTTTATACGTACATACATACGTACAAATTGTATTCATGTGAAACCGAGTTAAGTAAGAGATTAGTTATCTGTAAGTTTGTACTTATAGCTCTAAGCGGAACGGTTTGAGTTATGAAATCATAATTTTTAGATCATTATTCGAGGTCAAAAGTTATTGACCTGGTATTTACCAGGTAGGATTGTTGATTGTTGGATAGTCTTTTAGAAGACAGCAGTTTACTGGAATAGTGAGATACTCCTAAAACAAACTAATGTAGTGCAATGCCAAATTTTCAAGATTCGGAAGTAAAACGTGAAAATTACGTTATTGCCTGAAGAATTTCCAATTTATGGAGTTTGAGCTGTAAGCATCGAAACAATAAATAGAATGTAAAACCACTCATAATCAGAAAAACATAACAATCTATGGAGGTATTTCAAAGCAATTTCTATTGCTCTGCCTAAAATACTACATTAAATTTGCAACTCTAAATTACTACATAACTTCATGAACTTAGTATAATACACCTTAGCTTAATTGATTTATAAGGAAACTAGCTGACCCGGCGAACTTTGTTCCGCCTTAATGGCAATAAATAAGCAGACTTTTTTTTTATTTCGAACGGGATAAAAAGTATCCTATGTCCTTCTCCTGACTCTAAACTACCTCCCTGACAATTTTCAGCTAAATCGGTTCAGCCGTTCTTGAGTTATAAGTGGTGTAACTAACACGACTTATATATATAGACTGTGAATGTATGGTGTATGTTTTGTTGGTTGTCCTTAAATAAATAAATAAATGTCCTAAATTCCAAATATGATCTTCACAAAATTTGTCAAAGAATCCTCAGCTTGCAAAGTTAAAATTTTTAATTTGAACCACACAAGACAAAAACTGACGTTCCGCCGGCATGTCTTGACCATTTATACGAAGCAGAGCACCTGCCCTTTAATGGTCGTCGAGATGTTTTTGTAAATTGTTTAGCTTATTAAGAAATAGAAACAATTACATCCCGCCATAAACATTGAACGTCTCACTCTGGTATTTCATAAAATTCCGAGGACTATGCGTAAATATTTGCTTTTTTCTTCACATTTCTAAAGGGTCGTCCAATAAAATGCTTATTAAAAACTAAACTTCTCATTAAGTCACAATTTTTGTTAATTTAATTAATTTAAGTCGAATTCCAAATTGGAGGGACAAATTCTTGCGATGGCTGCATTAGTTTCATCTATTTTTTTAAATTCCGGTATCGTTTTTGCCTTCACACCTAAATTTTATGCACAATCGTGTCAATTTTTACAAGCTTTATATTGACTTCACTTGTTAGTATGTGTGGGACAAATCTTGCAACTGAATTTAAGACCAGTTCTCCTCAACCGATCGAGCTGAAATTTGGTATACTTATGTAAGTACGATGACAATGCAATATTATGGTACCATTGAGCTGGTCTGATGATGGAGTCGGGAGGTGGCCATAGGAACTCCTAAACAAAACGGCGGAAACTCATCGAGTTTGGGTTCGTTGGATTTGTCTTTTCGAGCACTTTAGTGTTAATGTCCAATGTCCTGAGATTAAGATATAATTAAAAAGTGTAAAATAAAATTATAATAAAAATAAACTTTTTAAAAACAAGCTTTTATTCTGAATTTCGAAAGCTTGTAGCGCAAACAGAGAAAAAGAGGCATAAATTCCATGCGCGATACAAGCTTTCGAAATTCAGAATAAAAGCTTGTTTTTAAAAAGTTTATTTTTATTATAATTTTTTATGAGTTTGGTTATCCAAATGCCAATGACGATTTATGTAACTATGTTTATTATTAGAATCCTCAACAGTAAACGTAATCTAATTGTTTTAACTGAAGTTCAATTGATGACATTTACTATAAGTATTGTCGACATTGTCGTTGGGGTCAATGTAGAGTTTTAAAACTGCGAAAACTCTATCAAAATTAGTTTTATAATAATGGTCCGAAAGCACGTCCTTGGAAAGCTCCTAGAATTTTGGAAGATTCGCAATCTTGTCGAAAGTTTGTTGCTTTACAGTTTTACGTGAACGATTATCTTTGACATATCATGCTCGTATCGATTCAAATCGCAGCTCATTACGAGCATCGTCATTACGCGTAAATACCTCCTCAATTCAGACAGAGAATTTATTGGCTGGCGGGGCGAGCAAACAACAACATTTTGTGTGCCGTCCTCGCGAGCGGCTGTTAAAACACACACGCACACACACAAAACCAACCAGGAAACGTCTAGCGAAAAACAAACAGGGGTCTTTTGTGTTGTGTAAACAATACCGCCGTATGCAACAGGCGTGACGACGAAAAAACAAAGCTACAGGTTACTTTCGGCAGATGGCGCTGAACGGTGCTTGTAATTTCCATCTGCAAGTTAGTTCAGACGGTTTAACATAGATGGAGTTAAATTATACTATCATGTTATGCTCTATTTTTGTTTTATTTAATTTTACGTTATGTATTAACGTAGGGGGTGATTGATAAGAGCAGATATTTATTATTGTATTGCAAACACGTAGTGCGTGACAAACAGCAAATATTATGATAACGTTTATCGATTGACCTTTATTAACTTTTTAGTAAAAGTCGTCTCTACAAACCTATTACACGTATAAAAACGTAATTTAAATTATTCTTTACTTCAAGTTAATTAAATATTTATCAGTATTTTGAACTAGTATTGTTCGTAGTGTTTTATCACTCTAAATTAACAGCTTAATGGTTAATGATAATAAAATAGTTCATTAACCAAATACGACGTGCATTAATTGAATTAGAAAATGTGTAACTCTTTCAAAATGCAAAGAAACCTCGCACTTTCTTATCTATTTCTAAATATAAACTAACGCATAGCTGAAAAGTTTACGTTATGCCTAGCTTAGCTAGGCTCTGACAATAACAAAATATTTACTTTCAGTCCGGTGGCTTCAGGTGCCCTTACTGACATAGCATTGATAACCAGAACATCTTATAATCATCTTTATTACGAGCTAATACCAACTTAAAGACTTCTCATTAAAGTTTAATTTGCAGCTGGATAGCTAAGGTGAATAGGCAAATGTAGAGTGGCAACTGAAATTAGTCATAGACTTAGATTGCTGGACAATATTTTTAAAATATCAGTTGCTTATAATGTCGACTATCGTAGAAAAATTCAAGCAGAAGCGTGTTTCAATTCCCAAGGTTCTGTATCTTAAAAAGACGAATGTGTACAAAGAAAACTAGACTAAGACTACCGACTTGCATTGCTCCTTCCTTACTTTGTTAAGATTCACAAATATTAATTAATATTAAAACCTGTTTTACGAACTTCCGGAGGACGCTTTCTAGCAATCAAACTGCCTGAACTCTCCTATTGTAAGTTGTTGTCTAATTTAGGTCGTGTACAAAAAAGAGATGACAAAGGGAAAGTCCTTAGTCTTAAGTAAAAATACTAAGTGAAATGTTAATTTCTCCCTCTTTCTCCCTCTCGAAAAATACAAACTATTAAGCTATTAATAAAATAGACTTAAGTTAAGCCTTAGACAACGTCGTTCGCGACGGAACCCTCGCAAACAAACGTAAACATAACACGTGAGTGTTGGCTTATTATTGTTTTTTCTTCTGTTACAGATTGTATTCAAAACAATCGAAGCGGCCGCCTTCAGTCGTCGCAGCGCGAGGTGTGCCGCAGGGTGCGTTCATAGGCCCTATATTATAAACTGTTGCAAACTTTTGTCGATGAAAAGGATCAGATGATCGAGTGCTAGTGTTTTAAAATCGGAAAGATTAGTGAAATCTGGATGTGTCTCCAACGGGACGAAGAGGATGTCGACTACATAGATGACTCGGTGAGTGTAGAATAGAATAGAATAAAATCTCATTTAATATAAAAAATGCGGTTTTCGAAAGACCCTACTCCAAGTCAGACATTATCTGCTATCAAATTATGTTGAGGTGGAAATATTTAACGCGCAAAAATATGTTCTTTTGTATGTTGAAATCAACTCAATAGTCTCAGCAAATAACTAGACTTGAGAATGCTAACATTTGCTTTTATTCATTTTAAAAATACCATTCAGAAGCTCAAAGGCTCTAACAAAATCTTTAGACGCTTCCTCCTCAAATAAAAACAAATTATCCCTTATCGGAGGATGAAATTGAAGGCAATATCATCGCGTGACAAGGCGATTTCCGACGAAAACATATTTTGATGATCAGCCCTGGTACGGGAGGGTGTTTTGGGAATGCGTCAAAACAGTGACGATATATTTTTGTAGATTTTGACCCACTGCTGGGCTTAGGCAAGAAAATCTCTTTGCTTTTCCCTAGGCGAAAGATGCTTTAGCTTTGAACTTAAAATTTTTCATTGCGTTGAAATAACACAACCTTCACTGAATTTCGTTGGTTATGGTGCTATAGACCATGGGAGCATTACTGGGGCAATAATGGTGTCAGATTTTAGAGCTGCTCAGGTGCCCTAGGTATCTACGTCAAAGAAAAAAATCACAACAAGCTTAACTCACTTTTATCATGCAGGAATACTTTGCTTGCTTATAATATAAGATTAATTATCACAATCTTAAGAAAATCGCAAAGTCATAAATTCAAATTCAAATTCAAATTCTTTATTGCTCCAATGTTGGTATATAAAAGTTTTTACATATAGACATAAGTCAGAAAATATCGCATTTTAATTTGTCATAATCGGGAACCGAACCCAAAACGGTTTAACAGCACTATGTCATCGGTTCAGATCCTTTACATAACATCAACGTAAATAAAACGGTAATTAGCGAAGAATGCCACTACAGATTCTGGCATGATGCCCCAAGAAACGTGGCAGCAACTTTAATTAAAATTAAAAACAATTTTATCGCAACCGACGAATGTTTTCAAACAACATTTTGTAAAACGTAAACTCGAAACAACCGAGAAGAGCCGTTCCTAAACAAATGACTGCTTTCAAAGATTATTATAAACAAAAAAACGAATTCGAAAACAAAGTATTTTTTTTAAATTTTGAAATGAGAATAAGGCTGCTTCAACATTTTAAAGCAAGAAGTGTCTCTCTGTTCATGACGTCGACAGAAACGGAATATTTTTTCTAAAAAATTTAAGCCCAAGTAGATACGTAACTGCAACCTTTAGTTTCATTTTAAGACCTAACAATCTAAAATTCGTATGGTGTAAAATAATAATCAAGGTTCGAAGATCGTCTGCTTATTGCAAGAAGTCAGTTACTACAGTAAATAATCAATAATAATAAAATCACGAAAGAACTCACCTATAGGTACGGATTTAATGTAATGCCTGCCTGGCAAAAAAGCCAGCCTCGAAAACCCTAAGAAATATTGTAAATGTATTGCGAAGGGCTGCATCGAAAAGCCTAAAAAATTATAAAATTTTTGCTTTCAGTAATCTGCCTCATTAGCAAGCAAGAACAGCAAATTTTTATGGAATATTTGAATTAATATAACTTTTTATATTGTACAAACAGTCGCCTTTTGCTAGAAAGAAGGCCTCTGCAATTAAGATAAGAGAGGCAAACATAAACAACTATTTAGCTCATAAAAATTATCATCAATTCACAAGTACGTGCGTACCTGATAAGGCATTCAATATTGTTTTCATTTGATTAATCAATATTGTTTGTTTATTAATTAACTAACTTCAAATTATGTAACATTTAACTTTAATAGTGAAATTGGAATTAAAGCAGTCCTATGAGAATTATTTTAAGCATTCATGTCAGAGGTCCATTTAAACAAACGGGCCCGTTAAGCAGGATCTAATAAAGCATGATCCCGCAACTGGACTGTCGTGTAAGTGAACACAAAATGTGACATTGAAATTCAAAATAAGACACTGCAAACAGGGTGTTCGTGTGAACGTTATTAAACGGGATCCCGTACAAAATAGTTCATGCAAAAAACGGGATGTCTTTACAAATACACGCTTTTACAAATCGTAATTATGTGAAAATTCTGATTGTTTCAGAGACCAATGGTGCAGCTACATTTACTGGTAAGTTCATCTGTTACAGTTATGAATATTATTAATAAGAAAAAAGTAGAGACTTCTCACAAAATCGGCTATTTGACAGGTTTCTAAAACATTTGAGATCACTATTAAAAAAATGTTTTCAATAACACTAGGGCGGTGGGTAAATGTATGTATCATCTTCATCATACTGTGAAAAGATTCATTATTTATTTAAATCCATATTGTCACGTTGAGGCGTTGTTCACATCGGTTGTAGAGGCGGATACAACTCTCCGCACGATCTCCCTCCATCTCTCTCTATTGGCAGACTGTCTGGTGCAGTCACATACGCCGTCTCCTACTGCTGCTTTCACTTGGTCGGTCCAGTCCAGCGCATTGGTGACCTGCCACGCGATCGGGTTCCTTCGACTTTTCCCTGGACGACCAGTCGTTCTATGGAGTTGTCATCCCGCCGCAAATCATTTACGATTATTTTATTACTAACCGTAATAAAAATGTATTCTACACAAGTAGATCTCATGAAACTTAATCTTGAAGGTGAGAAGGTCACATCGAGTATAACATATAGAGTTGTATGAGTCAGTTAAAATGACGTGATTGCTGATTCACTGAATTGCCAAATTATTATGTTATTTACATACAAGTTAAGCTGACTATCTGCATATAAGATAAACAATCATATTATGTAGATTGCAAAAGATAGTTCGTTTCAATGAAAAAAACGTCCACTGCTGGGCAAAGAATTTCCCTAATGATCAGTCCTGCACTGTCCACATCTAGGTGCTACCTAAGACCTTCACAAGATCGTCAGTTCACCTGTAAATTGACAGTTTTTAGCTCTATATTGGTCGCCGAACCAAGGACAGTTTAATATTCCCCTGTGATTAACAAAGGGCTTTACTTGTTGTGTATTGGCAGTTAAGCTGTAAATCCTGTCTAGACCAGAGTTTCAGCTGGGGGAAACTGGGAACAGCCTCATTTCCTCAGACGGGTAAAAATATACCTCTTTTCCCGAACTCTACTTTTTCTTCTTCTTGTCGTGTCGACAACAAACCTACTAAGTGTCAGCCCAAAACTCCGCTACAAGAGTGGTGTTGTCAGTAGCCTTCATTAAATGATCAGTTGTTCTCTACCGAAGTACCGAACTCTACTAATTCATACTTTAAACGCGAAAGTGTATCTATATCTGTCTGGTGCCTCTGATGAAATTTATTACAGAGATAGTTTGAGTCCCGGGAAATGACAGAAAATAGCTTTTTCCCCTATTTTTGAACATGCGTGATATAGTATTTCTATGACTACACTCACGCGGGCATAGCCACGGGCAGAAGCTAGCATCTAAATAAGAACAGTAACAGACAAGTATTTAAGAATAATGACATGGTCAAACAGACCTGACCCTTCTGTTGACGCAACATCTTTGACTTAATCTCTAAGGGTTGGTACTAAGGACAGAGAGACCCTTTGTGATGCTCGGTTATTGCCAATAAGTATTAAAGGGGCACAAGACAAAATGACGAAAAAATTTGACGCACTCAGAGTAATTTTTGGACATTGTAGAGCTTAAAAGGGGCCTTTTTATGAATTGTTTAAAATGCAACTCTACTATAAGTTTTGTATATCAAAAGGGAGTCTATCGCCCGTATTCACAAACATTACTATTAGGTCCCACAGCGCGCGTGGACGCACAGGGTGATACATGACCCAATCACAGAGCTCTATTCAACGCTGTGCGTTCGATTTACTGCGTCACTTAAGCAAGCATCGTTTGTGAATACGAGTGTATGTATTGAAACTTAGTAGGTATAAAATAAGCAAAACAAAATCGAATTTTACTTTTAAAAAGCACTTACCTACTGAATTTTATTTCAGTTTGGAATTTTCCATCATAGTTACAAAAATTGTTCAAATAATCTCCAGCGTGGAATTACTATGTGCAAACATCTACGTACGTGAAGAGTGCAAGAGCATATGCTAGTCTTCCAATAAAAGGGTTGTCCACAAATCGCACCAGTAAGCAGTATCTGTGTAAAACTCGGGACGACAATAAAACTGTTTTTCCGTTCGGCTATAAAAGCCTTTTGTTGAATCGTCACTATTTAGTGCAGCCTTCCTCAATCTTTCGCATACCGGAAATGAGAGAATTTTTTTTTTTTTTTTTTTTTTTTTATCCACAACGAGGAAGCTCTTGGCCTGTATCTCACCTGATGGTAAGTGACGATCAGGCCGAAGGTGGAAGCGAGCTTCACCCGGAATCCTCAACCACGGAGGAACTGGCTATCTTACCTCTAACTGCCGGAACACAACAATGCTGTTAACATTGTTGTTATGGCGACAGACTTAGGTAAGAATTTCCTATGATTTAAGTTCGTGGAAACTAAATTGCGTAAACTGCTGGACAAAGGCCTAATCCAAAGAGAAAGCTTTTCCTCGACGACCGGTCTTCTCCTAGTTTAAGACTTAATTAAACTATTATTAGACAAAAGCAATATGTATCTATTTTGGACAAAAATTCAAACTAGGAAAGAAAAACCAGGAAACGGAAATAAGCAAAAAGGTGCGTCTATGTTTAAATATTGAGATAATTAATATTATTAAGTAAATATGAAGTATCTAACTCGTAGCACATTCGTAGTCGTCGTCTCAACCAAATGCCGTACACAGCTGGACAAAGACTTACATTAGTACGTTTCCAGAAGTGCTCTTAACAGCTAGACAGAGGTTCACAAGGATTTCCAGAACGAACGGTCTTGCGCTAAAAATATCAAAATATCTACCTAAAAAGCGATATTTTTTTTATCCACAACGAGGAAGCTCTTGGCCTGTATCTCACCTGTAATGATTTTTTATTTTGTTCGTGTTACGGTTTTGTTCCCTAAAACTGCTAAAACTTTCTGCAGAATTTGAATCTATAATCGTAGGGCATGGCAGGTGACTCGAATTATGGATACTATTGTTACAGTTATAACACCATTTGCTGATGAAAATGCCTATATTAAACTACTCTATCAAGTCATTAAAGCTAAAAGTGCTTACTCAGCTTAGCCAGAAAACGTACAAAAACTTCCTCTCAAACATTCATAATTAAAATCCTCAACACTCCCAGCAATATCGTCTCATTTCCACCCGGTTTTGTTCTGTTCAGTTTAGTTGGGTATTCATCGCACTTCCTAGGAAGGGGGGAAGTGGGGGAACCCCCTCTATACATAACCTATAAACCTGGTAGTTTTACCACTTCAGCACTAATAAGCTTGCTGAAGAGTTTCGAACCTTAGTAGCTGGTGGTAGAGTTTAATGTGGAACGGGAATCCAGTAAGGTTTTATTGTTGGAGGCAGACTATGGAGCTTTATTGCTATTTCTCCGCCATTAGCGTTTATAGTTTAAGAGCTGGATGTCTAAAATTAGTTTAATATTAACTAATTTTTACTTTTCGCGTCGAGTTTCATACGCTTTGTCTTCTAATCATCAGACGTCATGGTCATCTAGTGATGGTGGTAGAGCAACTATATTTTGTCTTTTGCGCCAAAAGAGAATCGACTAAACAAAAAGTTCCAATTTGAATTAGCGAAGCTGAAATACTGAAACCATTTCATTCTGCAAAACAGGAGCTTTTTTTTCTCCTAATTGATCTAAGGATCTCAATCGCCTAAAAACATAATACGTTTCAGGCTTCAGCACAATTCTGTGTTTAAAAAAAACTGTTTATACTCCATAGAAGAAAATAACGTAGGTAAATGAGCTTACCAACTAGTTAGTGGTTTGCACTTCAAAACACAAAGATTCAAAGCCCTATAGAAGCATTTTTTGTCGAGCATACTAGTATTTTTTCTCAGAACTATCAATAAAAGAGAATGTTCTTAGATAAATGAGAAAATAATTTAATCCTTACGAAAAAGATGCTCTGAGAATTAAATTATTCTCTCGATCAAATCCAGCTTCCAAGAAGCTTTGTCTCAAAAGTTTTGGACCAAAAATAAAAAGTTTCAATACTTTACCCATAGATTGAATAGTCATTTTCATATTCATTTATTTAAAAAATTCTGTTTGTATCAATCGGTTCTCAAAGGAAAGATAAATCTAAAACACATACGTTATGAGACCAATAATATTAAATACCTATGCTAGCTTATTCTTAGCCTTTTCTATGACGTTGACCATAGATTATTACTATTCATGACGCCATTTTATTGTCAATAAACTTTTGACACAGCACCACGTCTCTTATTCGCTCGGGTAGGCGGTCGCTTTAAAGCAACGCTGGGCGTCGCTCTTCAGAGGGCGGAGTCACGCCCACCCTCATCAACCTCCTCCTGTATTATTAAACCTCATAGTTCAACTCTTAATTAATATTTTTTTAAAAGGCACGCGCCATTTTGCCTTTTTTGTTTTTAAAGTTTCCGCGACCGATCAATACCGTGCGGCCAGTTCGATTTGAATATAGAACGAATCAGGTGTAGTAATTTCTTTTTTATTTTATTGAACTACTTCTGGTATAAAGCTTTATTCGAAATAAGACCTCTTTTCCAAAAAGTGACGTTCTAAAAATCACGTTTGAATTCGAATCAAATTTAATTTAGCTCCAAGAAAGTACTGGCTTATCTCAAACTGGGGTCAGGGATTTGTCTCAGTGGAACAGACTGTAATTTCTAATTTTTCTCGGTAGATGACTAGTGGAGGCTGAATCGATAGGTGTTAAATCATCGCCCAATAAAAATGTCAATGGCCTACTGCTACGACGGAGGTTGCATTTACACCGTTCACAGTCTGAATGCTGAAAATACATGTATGATTCCATTCTGTTCTATCGTAGCCATTCCTTATAACACAGCCCCCCTAGACAAGTAGAAAAGCGTGGTAGATGTAAAGTCGAAAGATGGTCGAAAGGCCTTTTTTTGTATGGACTTACAACGGATTCGATTTTCGATTCGATTAAAAAGTGCCACGTCTTGTCTACCTACAGTAGGTATTTTTATGTTCTAAGAGGTTATCTTCTAAAATATATTAACTTGCCTAATACTTA